ACTAGCTATGCGATACAGAAGTTTCTTAATCTATAAAATAACGTATACTTACTAGACAAACTGTTATGAAAGTTCTAGATAAAGAGTGTTCCTTTCCCTCTGTTCTATGGGACCCTGGGGACACTGTAGGTGAAGTATTTGGGCTATTAACTGTACAGTTGGAGGTTCAAGCCCACCAGCTACTGTGTGGAAGATGAGACTGCTTCCGTAAATTCTGACTTTTGGAAATCCTATATTGGGTTGCTCGAGACAGAATTGACTAAATATGACAGTAGACTTTTGGTTATCATAGCTCTATGTCCATCTCTCTCCTGTATCAGTTTCCATCTTATACTATGATTCTGTAGAAGCATTTCTACTCCTCTTTACAAGCTATTTTTTGGGCATCTTTCCACAGTATCTAAGACAGACAGTGCTTTTCGTGCTGTGTTTGTTACACATCCTACTACCATAGCTACATCTTTAGACCTCTTGAAAATGACTTATGAACCCAAATGAAAGACACGCTCCACACACACCTTGGCGACTTGCCAACAATATGAGACGGAAAGGACGGAAAGAGAAAACCAGCAGTTCAGCACTGACTGGAATGTTTACATACTAGATAAAAAATCCTGCGTGGACAGGGACCTCGAGGTTCCAGGACTACCACTTGTATAGGGTTGTGAGGATCCACAGGATTCCTGACGTGAGTGGAGAGTAAAGGATTTGGATTAATAAGAAAATCATTAAAAAGGCTATACAACTTTAATTTCTAAAGAGTTCTTGCTTTGAGTTTGTTGCTATAAACTACCATAAAGACTACTACAAATTACCTATAAAATTAAGGAAACACATATGTAAAATAATCAGAAGATACTTAATTTTATTTTTACTAAATAAGAGGGGGTAAATGAAACAATAATTAAATATGTGAAAAAATACTACTTCTCTTCAATGTAGTCTACATTTTCTCAGAACTTCTATTTAGTGGCTACAGCAGAGAATAAGGCATTTGAAATCCATAACCCTTCTTCATATTTAGAGCAAATGCTTGTTTTTCATGTCCCTTCCACATGGAAGGGGGTGGGGCACAGGAAAAGAGTAATGGAGAACCTAGATTTCATTCTTGGCCCTGTCCCAGAATTGCCACCAACTGGACAAGGAATTTAAACTCTTTCAGGTTCTATGTAGTATTTATCTAAAAACATATAGACATTGTTTAATCTATGTCGAGGTGCTTCAAAAACTATGTATTATGCTCTGGCGTTCATTTTTCTGAGTCTTATATAGTTTGAAGAAATGATTAGCACAAAGTCTAAATGAATCAATTAAAGAAATCTTTCCTTTCTGTCACAAAAATGGCTTTTTCCAGTTACCATTTTTTGAAAGAGGTAAAAATCAGGACAAGTATGATCGCTCAGCTACATTGGATAAAGAGGTATAAATATAATAGAAGTAAGATCAATGGTTTGCCTGTGCATTACCCCGGAACACCGCTGAATGCATAAAATAACAGGGACAAAAGTGAATGTCAAAATCAGCAGCAACTAGATTGGATGGGATGAGCAATGAGCTGAAAACTAGGAAAGATGAGTTTCAAGTTGGAGATCTCCAGGGGCACCTAAGTGCTAAAACCTGCCTGGGCTTTAGTTTTTCTTCTGAAAAATAAGGGGTGACAATAAATGATCTCTCATAGTCAAGCATTTTGGCTTTACCACATGCACACATATTTTTACCTCTTGCGGAGCATGATTTACAGGAATGTTCAGCGGTAACTCCATTTTCTTCTCCTCACAAAAGAGAATAGTACTTGCATTACCCTGTAAGTGAAATGAAGTCATGTATATTTTAATTCGGGGTGCGTAGAAAATTCTAGAAGATACATTGTACGTAATACTTCATGTTTATATAAATCAGTGGTTTTCTTTAAAAAAAAATCATTTTATTAGAGGCTCATACAACTCATCACAATCCATACACACATCAATTG